GAAAAATTTGGAGCAGTGAGTAAAGAAACTCTTTTCTGTTTGATTCCTCTCTGTGGATGCATCTACAAGAGATACTTTACTGCACAGCAAACTAATTTGCTGCACAGTAAAGCATCACCATCTACATGTGCATGGCAAATACGGCACAGTAGATTAATTTACTGAACTGCCAGACAGTCCCATGAGATACAAGTGATGTCTGGCAGTGCAGTAGATTACTATGCTTAAACACATGTAGACGGTGACATTGGGATTAGTTTACTCCAACTCCAGCTCAAGCTGAACAGGAGTATATTCAGTTGCATCAATTGCACGTGTAGATGTGCCTAGTTTGTACATTCTTTGCAAACAAACATTATTGAACCAAAGATTACTCAGTCATGCTTCTTTTCCCAGTGGAAGGAACCTACAGAGCCACAAGTCTGTGTTAACTGTGTGGGCTAAAAAGGATAACAATGCACATTTTTTACCAAAAATGACATAGAATCAGAGAAGCCAGCAGAGGAGAAAAACAGAGAAGAAAAGCAAAAAAGATGTAAAGTACAGGAAATTAAAGGACCAAAACAGAACAAAACTAGAGCTTGGGGAAACATTCTAGAAATCAATTCTTCAGTTAATTTTGTATTTCAAATTTAAAAAATTGGATAATTGATTGTAAACGTTTTGTGGAAAGGTATTATCCCATGTCAAATTAAAAAGCTGAATATTTTTACAGAGGATGCTAGTAGTGAAAGGTATACCCAATTTCCAAAGGTGAAACAAGGGAATTATAAGTAGCTAGAGGCTTCTTGGAAAATTACTCTAAAAGATAACTTCAGCCAGCTTTACAGAAAGAAAAGGACTCTTGTCTAGAATGATGTTTGAATAGCAGGCAAGAATATGTTGGACTGTGTTGAGAAAATCAACTGAACGGGCATAAAATGAATGTCACTGCTTCCTCTGTGCACTCTGTGAATCAGTGCAGGCAAAACATTTACAAGACTTCTTTGAATTTAATGTAGTTGGTTGGGGAATGTCTGAAAATTCGTAGCCTCTTTAGGCAAATTTTAGCTCGATGTCCACAAGCAAAAATGCTCCTGACGTTTCACAAACTGTCCTAGTATTTACAGTTGCACCAAGTTCAACAAAGTCTTGTTCACACTTAGTTGTGTTGTGGCCCAGTTTCAATTTTCTCAGTAGCAGCAAGAACTTAAAAAAATATGTCTGCACTGGTTTCCTTTGTACCCAGGGTCTCAGAAAGTTCCTTCTTGGACCATTCTAGAGCAGGGTTCTCTGCTCTCTGTGTTCCCAATTTGGAGAAATTACTGGAAAATCAATTATCCAGTAAGCCGTCCAGTAATTATCCAGCAAGTCCTCCAGTTCTTATGAAATACTAAGCTGGGTACCCATAAACTGAGGTCCCTAGAATCACTGATCACTTTAATAATTTTTGGCCCAAATGTTGTACAAGCATTCCAGGTGTTTAAATGCATGTGGAAATGCTGATACAGCTGTGGGAACCTTGGAAATTCATCTGACTTCTCTGCACAACACTTTCTCCATTTGTAAAAAGGTATGACACCTAGACCCTAATAGTGTTGTACACAAAGTTAATTTACTACAACCAATCAATTTGTCAAAACTGTCTGCAGACCAATGTGTATTCTCTTGATAGTCATTTTTCCTAACTGTTAATGTTTGTAGAAGTATGCCTTTGTGCATGGAGAATTTAAGGTTTGTGACCTAAATGAGACGATGTTTTTGTTACCCTATCAGAAATCCTAACCTTTGGAAAGAGGAATGTCTTACAAAATCTTTTGTGAAATCAAGTCTGTCGGGAAAATAGTAGAGAACACTCTAGTTCTGAAAATTAATTTCTGAAGCATTTTGAAAACCTCTCAGAGAAGTAGCTGTGGAAATGAACTTTTTATTTCCACCTTTTTTGTTGCATACTTTTACATTGTTCTGGGATGCAACTGTAGAATGAATGTTAACACTGCAATAACTGTAACAGTGACAGCCTAATATTTTGTCTGTTTGTGAAAAATGTATCCAATCTTATGGCCTCCCTCACTACAGTATCTGAGCACCTCACAAGAATTAAGTCTCATCATCCCTTTAAGATGTGGAAATATAATTATTCCCATTTTATGAATAGAAAACAGAAGCCCAGCAGGACTGGCTGACCTTCTCAAGGTCACACAAGAAATCTGTGGCAGATCCAGAAATGAATGAGACCCTCGTGCCTTAACCAGAAGCTCACCCTTTCTTGGCTCTACCAAAGCTAATTTTGTCTTCCTAAGAGCCATGACAGAAGTGTGCAGAACACATCTGTCAGTCTCATAAAGCTGTATTCAGAAATGCAATTTTCAAGTGTCTGGGGAAGTCTAGCTAAGCCACAATGCATCAGTGCAGCTGAGGATACTGAGTTGCAGTGAGAGAATTTCTTCTGATGTATGTGGTTAGAGATTTTATTTTCTTCTGGGAAGAAAGTCAAGAAAGAATCCTGATCAATTACTCTGCAAGATTTGTGTTTCATTGTGCTGATTTCTCAAATGACCTGCAGGTATGTGGGGTAAGGTAATATTTTTTCCTGGCATTCAAAATGGGCAGGAGCCAATTACTGTTAGCATTTTTTTTTTGATTGCTTCACTTGAATGAGGAGAAAGATGAAAGAGATTCAGGTGAGAAAAGAGGAAGCGACAATGAGGCACAAGCAAGCAGTGATGATAAGGTAGTCAGAATGATTTATTTATTTGCTGGGGCTCCTGGACTGGTTTATACTGACTTCACTGTGTTGCCTTAACCCTCTAGGCTCAGTTACTTGCCTCAGGCTCATGCTCTGAGTGTTATACAAGCTTCCCTATGTCTTTACAGCGCTGGCTTTAACAGTTCTGGGACTTGAGCACCAACAATGGCAAGGCAGGGTATTTATGATGGGTGAGGGCCTGGAGCACAGCTGGCCATCCGTTCCAATAAAGTGCCTTCTCAAGTAGACACGCTTGTGTCAAAAACAAGACTCCCAAGGACCAAACCAAGAGCATCCAGCACAGTTGTGCCTTACAGCTGGCAGTTTCTCACCAAAACAGGGCTGATCCGTGTCAGAAACGGGAGTGGGAACCAGCACTTCTGCACTGTGTTCTCAACCCTTGGGTGCCACAACTGCCACTGACAAATGGTTCAGGCCCAAAGGGTGGGGGCCTGCCTTTGCCTTCACAGAAAATGAGGGCTAGCAATGATGTCAGCAGGTCTAGTCCATCGTTTCTCAACCTAACCCAAAAGTGGGTCTTGAGAATATATGCAAGGGTTGTGAACAAACTTAAAAAATGGATCCTTTGAAGGAGAAAAACACAGGAAACTGGGTTCCCCCTTGCTGGCTGGCAGAGCTCCAGCCTGCCAGGGGCTGCTTGGGCCCCCGTGACGCTCACAGCAGGGGCAACAGATTGGGAGCGAGGGACCGGACATTAAATTTACAAAAGGGTCCTAGTACAAAAAAGGTTGAGACCCGCTGCTCTAGTCCAACCGCTGCTGACAACAGGGCCATCCCCGGCCCTATCACCCCCGCCAGGGTTTTGTCTAGCCGGGTCTTCACAACCTCTGAGGTTGGCGATTCCCCCTCCCGCAGGCAGGGGCTGAACACCTGCAGTTTCTCGTGGGGCCGGGCCTTCATCCCCAGCCCCCCGCCCCGCTGGGGTCCCCCGCCCGCTCACAGCCGAGG